TAGGAGCCAGGGTCCCAAACTACGGCCCCCTGGGGCCACATCCGCCGGCCTAAACAACTAGGAGTGCCCGCTTAACGATCCCAAACATATCCCTCTAAACATAACCTATTATTTAAAAATTCGCATATTCCATAGACGAGCTTGCAACGTGACGTAACCGCGTTTCGCGGCCGCAGTGTCGGGGCGATCAAGCGTCAAGAATAGAAAAATTAGTTCACAGTGCAGGAAGTTTTTTAAACAGCAGTGGGCCGATGACTATTTTTTTGTCAGTGCAAGGAAAAGGCAGTTTGTTTAATACTGCAAAGAGACAGTGCAATGTTCAAAGAATTTAACATCGCACACTATGAAACCCGACAACGGCAGGGCCCAGTATGGCTAGCTTGCTGGGCAAGTGAAGAGAGACAAAGGTGGCCTACGCTAAAAAGTGGATTTGCTGCCCAGCAGGTACAGCATGCTACGCCAAACACAGATGAACATCCGTTCGGGGCCAGCCTTCAAGGAATAGCTACAACTTGATTGCAAGCTGTGAACAGTCGTCAGTTGATGGCGGGTTTTGGTTAAGAAGTGTTTTGACACACTGTCACGGGAGAGGAGGTGTTCCCGCGGACAAGAACAGATGCCCCTGGCAAGTGCTACAGTTAAACCAGCCGCAATTGCAAGAAATTGGCGGCATAAATGCACATGCCAGCAGGAAAGAGAAAGGCTAAAGATTCTTGAGTGTTTTCCATTGCAATTGGATGACAGCAATGATGTGCAGGAACACAGCCACAACTGCTGATTTTTTATTTCGGGGAGCTTACAATGTAAACAAATAATTTCTTTGTAAGTGTCTGAGGAGCTGCAGCCTCTATATAAGTCTCGCAGCATACCTGACGACACGGAAGAGGATATTTTTTAGATGTACGCCGCGAAACCATGGCAAGGGAGTTGAGTTTAGACGCTGGATTTAATCTAGCTAATAGCGATCACAACGATGGACTCGCTCTCTGGAGCCTAATGTTGGGTGCGTCCGCGGGGGCTAGTGGGCCCTAGGTCGGTCAGATGCTCTAAGCCGGGGCCAGACGTTCTTGAGGGGGGCTTTTTACGAGCTGCTACCCAAAATCCAACGCCTTTTCTTTCCTGACACAAGCGGAAAAATTGTTCCCAGAGCTTGATCGACACAGAAGTCGAAAGATGGGACGTCCGTCTTTTTTAACAGATGTGACAGAAATTTTACGGCTCATTTACAGCCTCCAAGGCCAAGGGAGAGGATTATGGCCCTGTTTTCAATAACTATTGGATATGAAAAAATGTCAGGTATAGTACATGCTCTTTTTATAGGCGACATGTTCTTGAACAGTGATGCTCAACGACGAATGGAGACTGCAGCATGTATCTGCTGGATGGCTGCTTGTGGTTTCTATCTGCATTCCTAGAAAGGGGCCTTGCATGCTTCAGACCACCCCTGAAGTCAGGAGGAGACTCGTGTTTGGGGACGCCCTCCCACCCTGGAGCCAAAGGCATCCTCATCTCACAGCACAAAAACCTCATCTAAAGAGTCATGTCAATACAAAACCAGATCACCTTATATAACCTGTTTATTACAATGATTCTGTAT